GACCATTAAACTGTTTTATCCTATGCCTGTTTCTTTGTCCTCATTTGCTCTAACAGTTATCGGTTAAAAATAAATAAATCCTAACTGCTACTTTATTTATATGCTCTTTCTTTTTTTTTTATCCTGGTCTGTGACCATAATAAAGTTCATCCAAGTAGGTTCCAGGGTTAGGTCCCCTGGCCATGGCAACCTAGACTTACCTCCATTTGTTGTTGCTGTCTAGTCGTGTCCGACTCTTCGTGACGCTATACTCAAGTCTTTAAACTTGTCCTGGCTCCTCACCTCCGTGCAACGTGAGAAACTCTGTCGCAACAGGTTGGCACACCTCTGCCCACCTCAGGATGCTGAGGAACTGAGGAACCTCAAACGGTCCCAAGCTCCGTTGCTAGGCAACGGCAGTTGGGAACATGGAATTCCCGGCCTCAGTGCCAAGGTTCTAGGAGAGTCCGTGTGGCCTAGTGGTTAGAAAACGTGAATGCCATGCAACACTAGGGTGATATATATATATATTCTTTGAAATGTACAGTTTAATACTTTTTCTATTATTGTATCCTGCTTTGCAGACTCTTGTTGTCTCCTAAAGAAGCTGACAGGATTGAACCCCTGTACTTACTTATGTGTTTGCCGTGTACATTTATGAACGTTTATTTTATATTTGGGACCTTTGAATTCTGAACTCTGAACTCTGGATTAATAACAACTAGGAATCTTCCAGAACGGCTAATTCTATTGCTGGGAAGGACTCAGTGACAGACTGGGGTTTTAGGAGAGGGGTGGTATGGGGTTGGGGGCAGGTGAGATGGAGGTGCTTGGCAGTGGGTGTGCTGTATGCAGAAAGCATACTCTTCAATTCCCATGAACCACCTCCTTTCAGTTACTGGTTTCTTGGGGTTGGGGCTAAATCCATGATCGGTCAGAGAAAAATGAGCGGCGGCAGGAACCAGTCAAAGCAAGGCAGATCTTAATTTTACTGTTGCGACAGAGTTTCTCACCTTACATGTTGCATGGAGGTGAGCAGCCAAGACAAGTGTGTGTAACAACTTTTAAAGACTTGAGAAAATGCCAATAATTATAATAATAACTTACTTTTTATACCCCCCCCCCCCAATCTGGCTGGGTTTCCCTTAGCCCAGAGGTTTTGGACTTTCTTGAGTCCACGGCTCCCTTGACCAACTACATTCGTTTTGGAAGTCGAACGGTCTTCAGGAACGGATTACGTTTCAAAAACTGCTGTATTTGAAAAAAGTGATTTGTGCGTCTGCATCTAATCTTGCCCCTTTCTAAAATGTATTCATTGGCGTGTGCTTCTCTTTTTGTCAATTGACCAAAAAAGAAAGCCGGGGTGAAGGGTTTTTCTCAGGAGGGCGTTTGTGCTGCATCCCCTTGGTGTGGTCGTGGTGGGAATGCTCTGCTGGGATGGGTTGGGGAACAAAAATGGGGGTTGGGGATGAGGAGGGTCAGTTGAGTGGGGAGTGACAAATGCCCCTCTTTTCATCTAAGGAACGTTGGAGGGTATGGCTGGGTGATGGCTTCAGGGTGGGGTTTGAGGGAGGCTCTGGGTTTTCCGCCCAGGCCTCTCCCTCCTTGCCCTGTTGCTCTGTCCTGACAGGGTTCCTTCCTGATGCTGCAGGTGGGATTTGAGGAGGCCGCCGCAGATGTCTCTGAGGAAGTGCCGTCCGCAGATGTCGAACAGAGGCCAAGCAGGAAGGTGCAAGGGAGGCCCAACTGGCAGGGAAGCAGGGCCGGATTTAGAGTCGTGCCCCCTGGATCATGCACCTTCATTGTATTGCTCCCATCACAGGCTGAAGACACCACCACTTTGGCTTCGCGGGTGCAGAGGAGGGCAACTAGGATGATCTAGAAGCTAAGCCTTGTGAGGAACGGTTGAAGGAGCTGGGGATGTTTAGCCTGCAAAAGAGGAGACTGAGAGGAGATATGGTAGCCATCTTCAAAGATGGCTGTCACATGGAGGGTGGAGCAAGCTTGTTTCCTCCTGCTCTGGAAGGTAGGATTCAAACCAGTTGCTTCAAGTTGCAGGAAAGGAGTTGGATGGGCATCTGCCATGGATGCTTGAGCTGAGATTCCTGCCTTGCAGGGGGTTGGACTAGATGACCCTCGGGTCCCTTACAATTCTATGATTCTATGATCCAAGAGACACGTTTTTCAGGTCACAGCAGATCGCTGTGACTGTAAATTGTTTTGAACTGCTTTTAGCATTGATTTTTTCCCCCTTTATTACGGTCCAGAGACCCAACAAATTGTTACAAAGCAATGCACAATTCAGACAGCCTACCTCCAGGTTAAACAAGCATTTTGTTCAGACTTAGAGACAGGGATCATTGGTTCTTGCAACCACCAATAAAAACTTTGCCACTGCTAATGTTCTAAGCGTTTGTCCGGTCTTCCAATAGGAACCTGACATAATGAGCCTCTGATTTTCCCAGGAAAGGTACCGGCAAGGGTAATATCAGTTCAGCCTTGGCTTGCTCATGTTTCGCAGCAAAATATGTTTTATAGAATCGATGTCTTGAGCACATGAGCAAAGTCTGTCCTGGTAGGGAACTCCTCTCAACCTGCCATCCAACACTGCAGAAGGAAAGACGTTTAGTCTGGCTTTGGTGAACAACCTTAGATAATTTGGTACTGAATTTTAAATTTCTGTAGTCCACTGAGGGACGTTAGGGTGAAGAAATCAAATTAAGAGAAGTAAGAGACATAACCTTCTTTTCTCATTTATTCAGCAGGTAAAAGGTGGGTGGGCATACCTGAGGGAGAGAGATACACACCTGAAGATGTTGAGGGGTTTTCCGGAGGGAGAGCAGAGGAGGAGAACTTTTCCTCGTCCTCTGTCGTCCCCTTCTCCTTGTGCCCTCCATCTTTCCCAACATCAGGGTCTTTTCCAGGGAGTCTTCTCTTCTCACGAGGTGGCCAAAGTACTGGAGCCTCAGCTTTCACGATCTGTCCTTCCAGTGAGCACTCAGGGCTGATCTCCTTAAGAATGGATACGTTTGATCTTCTTGCAGTCCATGGGACTCTCAAGAATCTCCTCCAGCACCATAATTCAAAAGCATCAATTCTTCGGCGATCAGCCTTCTTTATGGTCCAGCTCTCACTTCCATACATCACTACTGGGAAAACCATGGCTTTAACTATACGGACCTTTGTTGGTAAGGTGATGTCTCTGCTTTTTAAGATGCTGTCTAGGTTTGCCATCGCCTTTCTCCCAAGGAGCAGGCGTCTTTTAATAATAATAATAATAATAATAATAATAATAATAATAATAATAATAATAAATATATTTTTGTCCCACCCATCTGGCTGGGTTACCCCAGCCACTCTGAGCGGCTTCCAACCAAATATTAAAAACAATACAGCATCAGACATTAAAAACGTCCCTAAGAAGGGCCGCCTTCAGTTTCCTTCTAAAAGTCAGATAGTTTTTTACTTCCTTGACATCTGATGGAAAGGCGTTCCACAGGGCTGGTGCCACTACCAAGAGAGCCCTCTGCCTGGTTCCCTGGAACCTCACTTCTTGCAAGGAGGGAACCTCAGTGTCCAGGCAGAACGATGGGGGTGGAGACGCTCCTTCAGGTACACTGGGCTGAGGCCATTTAGGGTTTGAAAGGTCAGCACCAACACTTTGAATTGTGCTCGGAAACGTACTGGGAGGTGCTTTATTACCCCTTTGGAGGCATTTTATGCTGCAGGTGCTTTTCTTATTTCCAGTTGGAAAGTAGAATTTGAAATTTGGGGACTTCTATGGAAGACAATTTGGGACAGTTCTCTGGTAGGATTATCCTGTAGGCTTACTTACGTCTGAATTGCACAATGCAAACTGGATTAAAGTTAATAAATTATAATCTAAGACAAGAGATGGGATGGAATCTTCTCCTGAACCCACAAATATTCAATTTCCCAAAAATGCTGGTGGATTTTCATAAGGATTCTTAAAAAATAATTGTAAACAGATGTGGAAATGTGGAGAACTTGATACTGGAAAAATTAATAATTTCAGACTGGAGAAATAAAAGCTGTGAGAAACCAAAACTGGCTGTTTCAGCCCTTCCTACCCAAAACCTTGGCATGTGCCAGGCAGACTGACATCCGAGGGCCAGGGTCTGAGGGGGTCTTCCTAGTGTGGCCTGTGGTGTGCAGTGAATTCCCTTCTCTTTCCCCCTCTAGGATGTGAGAAGCACCTTGCAGAGGTAAGTGGATCTGGCTCATTTCCATTAGCTTCACTCTTTGAAGCTGAGATGCAGGAACCTCAGACATGGCCCTCCAGGGGCTGCAGGGGGGAGACTGGAGGACTCACTCCCTGAGGCATCTCACAGGTAAAAGCAGGGGCCCCTCTTTGGAACTTGACAATGGGTAGATCACAGTTGGTCTTTTTATACTGTGAGTAGATCACAGTCTCTTGGGAGTTGGACGTGCCTGCCTTAGCTGTTTCCTTCTAGACTGACCAGTTCAGTCACTCTGCTGGCCACCCACCCTGTCCCAAGCAAACTCCTGCCCCATAGAGCCCCTTGGGAGGGGGCGATTTCTCACCAAGGAGCAGGAATTGGCTATTTTCTTGACCATATTCCGGCTGCAGTATTTATATTTAAGGAATCACTCAGGTGCAGAGTAGAGGTTTGAAGGAACATTTCTTGTTTCCCAACAAAAGGGCATTTCTTTTTCTTCCTCTCCCCTTCTCTGGGGACATCTAGAGAAAGGACATGTGTGCTGTGCTCTCACCACCCTCAGACAATTCCTGCCCCTTGATACCATAGGATTCTGCTGCTGCTTTGAATAGACATCAGTGGGGAGACTCAGAGGCCTGGGGTTGCTGTTTTGGCCCTTGGGGGTCTGGCTGAGGAGTCCGTAGTGAGGAAGAAACTCCCCACTCAGCGCATGCCTGTCCCTCTAGGCCTCCTCCCAATTCCTTTCTTTTCCTTTAACAGAAATTGCAGATTTGAATGGGCTGACATTGTTCTTCTTTTCACCAGGTATGATGAGAAAGAGAGAGTCCAGAGAAGCCACTGCCTTTCCCTCCAGAGCTGAGGAACAGGGTCTTGGAATCCTGTGATCTAAATCACCTTGTGGAGGATGCCATGAAACAATGGGAAGGTAATGGAAATTGGCTGCCAGGATTTCACACTGGGATTTCTATTATTTCTTCAGAACTGAACATGCCAGGCTCTTACTGCATGGAATTGCGTAACCCCAGGATACCTTCCTTCTTGGGGCTCCAGCCTTCATTTCCTGTCCCCCCAGAATGGCGCTGGATCCTGTAAAGGAAGCCTGAACCAGAGGGTATCTCTTTTCAATTCTACGGAACCTCCTTTTCCTTTTGGTTACCAGTCTACATAAATCTGGGGTTGTCCTTTGGGAGATTCTCCTGCTCTGAATGGAGTCAATTCAAGGATGCTACATTATGAAGTGTTCCTTTTGTATGGAGATTTATCTCAGGTGGAAGAGTGTTGCCCTTACACGTTATATCTTTTTGCTTCCTCAGATGCTGTGTTATACAGAAAAGAGACTCAGAAAGGTAAATTTCCAGGGGAGGAACAATTTGACAGGAGGGATGGGGACTGATATTTCATGGTGTTAAACCATCTGTTCTGCAGACTTTGGGACCCCATCAATGGCGTCACTCTGGGAAACAGTCCTCTAGTGGTGTTTGGGTTCTTGGTCTGTCCCATGAATGAACTGGGAGAGGGTTTGAAGGCTTGGATTGGGGGCAGAGCTTGTCCCTGTGAAGAACCTGCACACCAGTCTGAGTTCCATTCCTGCCTATAGACTAGGATCCTGGTTTCACTCTCGATTTTATAGATTTTGCTTTCTTTCATAAAATCTGTATACTGCTTGTTTGTAGGGAAAACCCTCAGAGTCTTACAATATCTTACAAAACCTTAAGGAGGATCCTGCAGGGTCAGTCCAATGTCCATCTTGTCGCGTTCTCATGTATAAGGAATCTCCCTTGCATTTTGTTTTCCCTCCACACAATCTGCAGAGGTTCTTTGGGGGCTTTTGAGATCAGCCCCATTCCCGGCAGGAGGACTTCCCATTGCATGAGACCTTTGGAATTACAGGGTAAAGCTCTGCCGATTCTTCCTCTGGTTTGTCAGCATGCTTGGAAATTCCGGTTTCAACAGCTTTTCCCCACTAGTTCACTTGGCGCAGATAGAATCATAGAATCATAGAGTTGGAAGAGACCACAAGGGCCATCGAGTCCAACCCCCTGCCAAGCAGGAAACACCATCAGAGCACTCCTGGCATATGGTTGTCAAGCCTCTGCTTAAAGACCTCCAAAGAAGGAGACTCCACCACACTCCTTGGCAGCAAATTCCACTGTCGAACAGCTCTTACTGTCAGGAAGTTCTTCCTAATGTTGAGGTGGAATCTTCTTTCTTGTAGTTTGGATCCATTGCTCCGTGTCCGCTTCTCTGGAGCAGCAGAAAACAACCTTATCCCTCCTCTATGTGACATCCTTTTATAGATTTGAACATGGCTATCATATCACCCCTTAACCTCCTCTTCTCCAGGCTAAACATGCCCAGCTCCCTTAGCCGTTCCTCATAAGGCATCGTTTCCAGGCCTTTGACCATTTTGGTTGCCCTCCTCTGGACACGTTCCAGTTTGTCAGTGTCCTTCTTGAACTGTGGTGCCCAGAACTGGACACAGTACTCCAGGTGAGGTCTGACCAGAGCAGAATACAGTGGCACTATTACTTCCCTTGATCTAGATGCTATACTCCTATTGATGCAGCCCAGAATTGCATTGGCTTTTTTAGCTGCCGTGACACACTGTTGGCTCATGTCAAGTTTGTGGTCAACCAAGACTCCTAGATCCTTTTCACATGTACTGCTCTCAAGCCAGATGTTAACCTTCCTCCAGCCATTCAGTACAGATTCCCATTTCATTCATGGATTCTGAATGATTGTATTCCACCATTTTCTAGCATGGTTTACCATTTCTGATTTCCTCATGGAATCATGGAATAGTAGAGTTTGAAAGGATCCCAAGGGTCATCTAGTCCATGGGTAGGCAAACTAAGGCCCAGGAGCTGGATCTGGCCCAATCTCCTTCTAAATCTGGCCCGCGGACTGTCTGGGAATCATCGTGTTTTTACATAAGTAGAATGTGTCCTTTTATTTAAAATGCATCTCTGGGTTATTTGTGGGGCATAGGATTTTGTTATTTTTTTCTCTCTTCAAAATACAGTGGCACCTTGGGTTACAGATGCTTCAGGTTACAGACTCTGCTCACCCAGAAATAGTACCTCGGGTTAAGAACTTTGCTTCAGGATGAGAACAGAAATCGTGCTCTGGCAGTGCAGCAACAGCAGGAGGCCCCATGAGCTAAAGTGGTGTTTCAGGTTAAGAACAGTTTCAGGTTAAGAACGGACCTCCAGAACAAATTAAGTACTTAACCCGAGGTACCACTATATAGTCCTGCCCCCCACAAGGTCTGAGGGACAGTGGACCGGCCCCCTGCTGAAAAAGTTTGCTGACCCCTGGTCTAGCCCAACCCCCTGCAATGCAGGGATCACAGCTAAACACGTTAGTTGTTTTAATTCCTTAGGGCTTTAGTTGTTATCTTTGCAATTATTTGCTCTATGATGTCATCTTTTGCTTAAAATAAGGAAAGAACAGGTGCTTTACAAAATATATATATATATATTTTTGAGCTATTGCAATGTAGCCTCTTAACCCTCTTTTTGCTTCCTCATATGTCCAGTCTTTCAGAAATCTCCGCAGAGGTAAAATTCACATGGAGACCCCAGTTCACAGGAGGGTGGGGACTAGTGTTTCATGGGGGGTGAAGAGTCTCTTCTGTACAGCTAGACTCTAGCCCTGCTGCTGTTTGTGCCACAAAGGCAGAGAGGGGGGACTTGAAGGGGGGAGAGAAACTGCCCAGAAGGATCAGGCGGAGGAGGACGGAAGAGTTTTACTCCTGGCTAGAGAGAGTTGGATCGCTTTTCCATCATCTGACCTTTTTCAGGTGGCCTGGTTGCCATGTGTCCTCTTTTTCCTGTCACATCCTCTATTTTCCTGATTAAAATTGTTGCCCGGGCGGATTTTTAAAATTTGGCATAATGTCCCAAGTTTTTTGGTTTGGTTTTTTGGTTTACATGAACGCACGGAATTTTTCTAGTGTATTAGACTCAGATCTAAGACACCTTGCTTAGCTAGTCTGCAGCAGAGAATCACAACAGAATGCCGTATTGGCCCGAATATAAGCCGCACCCACAAATAAGCCGCACCTTTAAAATTCAGGGGGGGGGGAGAAAAAAAGTTAATACCCAAATATAAGCCACTCCCTTAAAATTGGGTTACAGGCTGAAAATTGCTGCCACAGGTACAAGTGTAACTCCCAGCCAATTTAAGCCTTTGCTCTTGCAAGCCCACAAAAGTTACCGTACAATCGCTAAAATCGCAAATCACTATTCAGCTGCTACAATGCCGCAGGCACTCACACCCGTAAATGGCAAATGAAGTCTCAAGCTCGCAAATCGGCAATAAAACTTTTTTTTGTTCCCTTTTACCGTATGTCTGTTTCAGCAGCAATATTGTAAAAGGCAGTTTTTGTAAGGTCGCAAATTTAAGCCACACTTTAACTTTTCAAGGTCAGAATTGGGGGGGGGGAAGGCAGCTTATATTCGGACCAATATAATAATAATAATAATAATAATAATGCACCGTTTCTAATAAGGCTGCACCTAAGATAGCTCAGATGGCAGAGCATGAGACTCTGAATCTCAGGGACGTGGGTTCCAGCCCCATGTCGGGTGAGAAATTCCTGCATTGCAGGGGGTTGGACTAGATGACCCTCGGGTCCCTTCCAATGCTGCGATTCTGCAAGGATTTGTGCAGCTGAAGAGTTAAACCCACAGAGCTGCAATGGCTAGAGTTGCAGGAGGGAGGCCGGCTTGTGAAAGCCAGGAAGGGTTTTTCCTCCCTGGTTAGGGGGTGGGCCTTGGTTTTGAATTTCTTTTGCAGCTGGCATAAAAGGAGGAGGAAAGAAGGAGAGGAGGAGAAGACAGGAGGACAGTGTGCTAGACTGGGGCATGGAGGCGGAGAGGCAGGGAATTGCTGGAGGAGGAAAAAAGACCCTCTTTTGCAATCGCTCTCCCTCCTCTGGGTAGCAGGCAGGGGTCTCTCTGCTGCTGGTTTCCCCCTTCCAGAAGAAGCAAACTCTTTGAGCAAGCTGGGTCAAAGGGTACGTGGACAGCGCTTTTCTATGGGGTACTGGGGAGGGGCGGTAGAAGAGGGGGACGGCATGGGGCAGGGAGCCTCCTAAAACGAAGGGGGCCTGCCTGCTTGAGCCTCCTACAATTCCTGGGTGATGGGGGGGGGCTTCTGCAGAGCATCGGAGACCAAAGCGCATAGCAGCGTATCGTTAACCTCTGGAACTCCCCTCCACAGGAGATAATAATAATAATAATAATAATAATAATAATAATAAAATTTATTTATACCCCGCCCTCCCCAGCCAAGACCGGTCTCAGGGCAGCTAACACCCAATATAAAAACAAATACAATTTAAAAACAAGGAGTTCCTGAAGACAATGGAGTCTCCTCTGCCCGGATCGGCGAGGCGGCCCCATGGGACGATGCCAAGGGCTTTCTGGCCTCCTTTGAGCGGGTGGCCCAAGGGAGAGTGGGCGGCCAGGCTGCTGCCAGCCCTCCGAGGAGGGGCCGAGTGGGCCTTTGGCAGCCTGGAGGCCAGCGACAGAGAGGATTATGGGGAAGTGAAGGCGGCCATCTTGCGCGGGGACACCACCGCCCAGGAGAAGCAGCGGCAGCAGCACTTCCGCCGCTTCTGCTACCAGGAGGCCGAGGGGCGAGGCCTATGGCCGCCTCCAGGAGCTCTGCCGTGGGTGGTTAAAAGTGGACCGGCACACCAAGGAGCAGGTTCTGGAACTGCTGATCCTGGAGCAGTTCCTGGCTATCCTGCCGCCCGAGGTCCAGGGCTGGGTCAGGGAGGCCGGGCCTGAGAGCTGCTCCCAGGCAGTGGCCCTGGCCGAGGAAGACCTCCAGGCGCAACGGGAAGCTGAGGGGCAGGAGCTCACATGCGCCTTGGGGCTGTGTTGCTGGGGGGCTCCTGGGGGGCTGATCCTGCCACTCCCTGGGTTGTTAACCAAGAGAGCGAAGCCTGTCCGTTTCATGCTGATTAAGGAGGGGAAGTCCAATTCTATGCCCCTAGCTCACTCAGGGAAACACTTA